AAAAAAAAAAAAAAGAAATTATCAAATAAAAGGGACATAGATTGGAAAGAAAAAAAAAGAAACTATCAAATAAATTACTAATTTATCAATTTTATCAAACTTCTTTTTTTTTGGATTTGCAATTCTTTTTTTAAAAATTTTTTTATTAAATCATAGCAGTGTACATTAATACTATTATGGGGTACTGTGTACTGTTTCTGTATACAATTTGAAATACTTTCATCCAACTGGTTAACATAGCCTTCATGTCTTTTTCTTAGTTATTGTGTTAAGACATTTATAGTCTACATTTAGAGAGATTCACATGTACCCTTATAGGATGACAAACCACATTTTGAATTGGAAATTTACATAAGCAAGCTCCAAATTCTAAAGCTAAACAGAATCAACAGTATTATGCCAGTAGTTTCTCAATTCCCTGCTCAATGACTTCAAGATACATACACAAATTCCACAATTCTTTCTTGATGAATTCAGGTAAGTCCAATTTAGTAGAGGTGAATGAAGGTAGAGACAAAATAGGTTATGCTATTTTGTTTCCTTGCACTGCACACGAAAAGGAGGCTTGCTGCCAAGTCTTCAGCAAGGTCCTATGTATTAAGGTTCCCATGTTCCCAAACTTTCCTATACCCCTTCACTTTGCTTCCTACAGTCCTTATAAGGACTTCCCTTTCAGGCATGCCCTCCCTATACTATAAAAGTAATCAAGCCTCAGTCTTCAAGTTCCATTTAAGACCCCTAGCATCTCAGAAGTGTGAGTGGTTTCTTCTTTCCCTCTAGTTTCCATTGTGTTTTTACTCAGATTTTAAAAACCACTAACATGCTGTAATAGTATATTGACCTTTTCTTCCCTTAATTGACGTCCTTAGAGAAGAAAAAATCCCATGTCCACTTCCTCTACTCTTCTCAATTATAGATGAGCACTTAAAATATAAGGAACAGTGATAATGATGACCTGGTTGGACTAGAGTCTCTGAGCTTTTTTTCTGAGGATCTTTGAAACCACCTGATCCACTCACTGCCTCCCTTCTATTATGTCTGGTGCCCCCAACGTGCCCACCTTCATATTTTAACAGCCAATTGCCCATGTGGTTTTATTATATATTCCTTTTCTGAAATTTCAGGATGTCCTCTGGGTGATGTTAAGCAGATTCTAGGAACTTCTTTCCTGTATTAACCTGTGTGAGCAGCTATTGTCATATTGGAGAAAAAACTCACCTAGAAATTTGGGGGCACTTATGTGACAAGTAGATAGCTTTCACTTTACCTTGTACAACTATCTGATTTTATCTGAAGAATTCCAATAAAATAATTTAAAGCAAAAAAATATATAAGGAACAGTGATTACATTTAATTTACAATCCCAAAGTCTCTCTGCATAGCACAATCAGGTTCATTTTTTCATTCTTTTTTTTTTAGAGACAGTCTTACTTTATTGCCCTCAGTAGAGTGCTGTGGCATCACAGCTCACAGCAACCTCCAACTCACATCACAGCTCACAGCAACCTCCAACTCACATCACAGCTCACAGCAACCTCCAACTCCTGGGGTTAGGTGATTCTCTTGCCTCCACCTCCTGAATAGCTGGGACTACAGGCACCCACCACAACATCTGGCTATTTTTTTTTGTTGCAGTTTGGCCAGAGCCGGGTTTGAACCCATCACCCTCAGTATATGGGGCCAGTGCCCTACCCACTGAGCCACAGGCGCCACCCAGGTTCATCTTTTCCTAATACAGAATACAATTCTTCTGTTCAAAACCCTCTAATTACTTTAAAGAAAATGTAAACTTAGGCTGGGTGTGATGGCTCACACCTGTAATTCTACCCCTTTGGGAGGTGAAGGAGAATGGATTACTTGAGCTGAGGAGTTTGAGACCAGCCTGGGCAAGATGGAGACCCTGTCTTTCTAAAAATAGCTGAGCATTGTGGTGGTCATCCCATCTCTAAAAATACCCAGGATTTGTGGTGGGAACCTGTAGTGATAGCTACCTAGGAAGATGAGGCAAGAGGATCACTTGAGCCCAAGAGTTTGAGGTTGCTGTGAGCTACAATACCATAGCATTCTACCAAGGGCAACAAAGTGAGACTCTGTCTCCATAAAAAAATAAAGAAAAAGGCTTGATGCCTATAGTTCAGCGGCTAGGGTGCCAGCCACACATACCAGAGCTGGCAGGTTCAAATCCAGCACGGGCCTGCCAAACAACAATGACAACTACAACCAAAAAGTAGCCGGGTGTTGTGGCAGGTCCCTGTAGTCCTAGCTACTTGGGAGGCTGAGGCAAAAGAATTGCTTAAGCCCAAGAGTTTGAGGTTGCTGTGAGCTGTGATGCACAGCACTCTACTGAGGGAAACATAGTGAGACTCCATCTCAAACAAACAAACAAACAAACAAATCCTAGACTTGAACTCTGCACTTTAACAAGACTCTAAAACTGATACAAAATCATCATTTCCTGCTTGCATATATATTCTGCACTTCAATTACTTTTTATTTCTAGGATATGACCTTCTTGCCTCTCTGCTTATGATTATTACCTTTTCCTGAAATCTCACCTACTCCTAATTTCAATTTGTCAAAACTATAACTCTTTGTAAGGCCCAGCTTACATTTATTACAAAAATAAAGTCTGCCATGATAAATTTAGTTAACACTTGAGTTTCTCTCTGAAATCCTCTTTTATCACATAAATTGCATTATTAGTCACCTGTAAACATGTCTTCTTTAGTAAAGCAGAAGTTCCCTATAAATAGAACCATGTCTAGTGCTTTATATTTTCAGTGCCCAGTTCAATGTTACACAGGAAGCATTCACAAATATTGGTAAAATAATCTGAAGAAATAAGTCATAAAATATTAATATTATCAATTAGTCTCACCTACTTTATAAAATGCATATCAATACTTACCTCTATACCTAAATAATTCAAATATTCAGCAGACATTTTTCTATAAACATTCCTTAAGTGTTATTTCAGCGGACTTAAAAAAATACTTAAAATTTTCCCAAACTTTCATTTTCAACTTACCAAATTGTAAATTCCTAATAGAAGTGCTTCAATGCAACCATTACTCTGTCTGTCTCGACTAACTGTAAGCCGTAAATAAACCCACATCAATTCTGGCAAGAACTGCAGTGTGAACCTCTTAAGTCGAACTTCTGAGCTACGATAGAGCTCAAACAGCTGGTGGCAGACAGGCTCCAGGAGCTAAAAGGCAAATAAAGTACATCAGTTATCGCCATTCTTTCAGCTATAACTCTATTTTTTTAAAGAGATGGGGTCTTGCTTTGTTGTCCAGGCTGGAGTGCAGTGGCACAATTACAGCTCACTGTAGCCTTGAATTCCTGGGCTCATGTGATCTTCCTGCCCCCCAGCTTCCTAATTAGCTGGGACTATAGAAGTATGCCACCACTCCCCACTCTGTAACTCTTATTTTCTAAAAGGTATATGTATACCTGTATAATATTTTTTAAAATAAATTCTTACTATTAATTTCTCGATATTTTCAGTGAAATTTTTTATCTCTACTTAAAGAGCAAATTAACAAATCAACTAACTATAAATATTAATATTTTATGCCAATATAATATAAACATACTCTTCAATACATTGTACTACTAAATGTATTACATAATTAGTCCTTCAGCCAATTTACTAAATTTATATTTGGTGATTTTCTCTTTCTATTCTTACCAACTCTTACTACTTTCCATTTTTAAAAGATTCTTTTGGAATAAAATAATTTTAAATAATCTTAGTGGAAAGAAATTTTAAATCTCAACTGAGGCTATGATTTAAACAAATTACATACTAAGTATAAAAAGGGATTTTGCAACATTTATTAGGGTATCTAAAATTCTAGCCAATATCTTAAATATACATAAGAAAAAAACTGATTATTTTTATGTTTTAAAACTGACTTAAATTTCTCTAATTATATTTACTTGAAAGATTTTGAAAAGGAGTAAAATATATACAAATAGTTTTTTAAATATTTAATTGGTGAATTTTTCATATGACATCACACAATATGACTTATGAGGAATTTAATGACCTAGAAAACTAAAGAAAATGAGCAGTTAAAATAAACTTTTCCACTTTTCTCTAAATGTACATTGCCAATTTAGAATGGTTTGCTTGAAAACCACACACTGCACAAAACTGTCTATGACTGTAAAGTTTATATAAAACATTGATAAGAAACTATAATTTTTAAGTTAAAGTTTAAAATTCTTTTAAAAATGTCATAATTTTTAATCAGAAATTTCATATGCTTACCTCTATTGTGAATGATTTAAAATAATGCATATACTTTTGAAAATCTGAACATAATTATGTATGTTCGTAATAATCTAACATTCTAGAAAAAAGTCACTATCATAACTGTAAAATCAAAAGTCAACAAATCTATGCCAATTACACAGTTAGCTTAAGCTTAGCTACTGAAGAACAACTCTAAAGCTTAAAAAATTTACACATATACACCCTAGTCTAGAAAATACTAAGCCCTTTATGTGGAATCACTATCAGAGAATAATTTTTTTTTTTTTGGCAGTTTTTGGCCAGGGCTGTGTTAGAACCCACCAACTCCAGCATATGGGGCCAGCACCCTACTACTTTGAACCACAGGCATCGCCCCAGAGATTAATTTTTAAAATCTTCAACTCTCTGCTAACACTGAAGTCTAGACCAGTCAGACGATTGTTGAAGGTCACAGAAGTGAGTCGTGAAGAAAGATACTAAATTCAGGTCTTCTTGTATTAAGTTAATGTTTCTGCTCTATCAGATTTCCTATAGGACAATAGTGTGGGTTGTTTAACTAAAACTAGTATATTTCATGTAGTGCCAACAAAGAACAAATAATAAACCTCTGAAAATAATCAACTGTTAGCATCTTTCTTAAATACTGATAGCAATGTTCAGCTCTTTTGGGGAAGATTATTGCTCTCATAAATTTATTAAAAATATGGCCCGGTGTGATAGCTCACACCTTTAATCCTAGCACTCTGGGAAGCTGAGACAGGTGGACTGCCTGAGCTCAGGAGTTCAAGACCAGCCTGAGCAAGAGTAAGATCCAATCTCTACTACAAATAGGAAAACTAGCCCGGCATAGTGGCTGGTGCCTGTGGTCCCAGTTACATGGGAGGCTCAAGCCCAAGAGTTTGAGGTTGTTGTGAACTATGATGCCAAAGAACTCTACCCAGGATGACAGAGTGAGACTCTGTCTCAAAAAACTAAATAAATAAAGTAAAATAAAAATATATATTTTTGTTGCAAATTCAGTCTCTTTTTTATTAAAACGCTCTCCAAAGATTGCCTTCTCTAAATTTTATGGGCCTTGGGATAATTATGATGAATTTCTGCTATGATAACCTTAACCTTGGGCAGCACCTGTGGCTCAGTGGGTAGGGCACCAGCCCCATATATCGAGGGTGGCGGGTTCAAGCCCAGCCCCAGCCAAAATGCAACAAAGAAATAGCCAGGTGTTGTAGTGGGGGCGCGTGTGGTCCCAGCCACTCAGGAGGCTAGGGCAAGAGAATCGCCTGGGCCCAGGAGTTGGAGGTTCCTGTGAGCTGTGACACCACAGCTCTCTACCGAAGGTTAATAAGTGAAACTCTGTCTCAAAAAAACAAAACAAAACAAAACAAAACAAAAGACAAAACCTTAACCTTCCAGTGCTTATACATGCCTATATTGGCACATAGGCCACTATATTTTAATTAAGCACAGTGAAGAAATATAGTTACCAAAATTATTACTGTGTTTTTTTTAAATGGACAAGGGTGGATGTTGGCAATCTAGTAAATAACTTTTAGTCAGATACCACTATAAAACAAGACTATTAAAAACTTATCAATGCTATCTGTTAAAACTTTTAATTGTAAGCATAAATTTCATGCCATCATGTTCTCAAATTCTCAATAAATGACTCTAACTTCCCTTAAACTGCACTATCACCCATATCAAAAGGTATTAAAAATCATTATCCTCAGCTTAAAAAACATTCTAAGAATAACTGACACCTTTCCTAAATTTAGCAAATACTGTTTTGACATTATAATTAGGAAGAGATATGATATCTGATGAACATACTGAAAGCATTTTGGGTGGAAGAATGAAGAGCAAAATCTACTGGAAGGGGTTAAAGAACGAATGAGAGGAAGAAGAAATGGAAACCAGTAGAAAGACATTATAACTACAACTTACAAAAGTTCATCTGTGAATAGGGACAAAGAAATGAGGTAGATAAAATAGGAGGCAAGATCAAAGAAGATGACCTTTCTTTTTAAAAGAAAAAAGTGAAGTATGTATTTACCACATTCCATTCAGCAGGGAAAGAAAAAAAAAAATCAATGATAGAGGGAAGAAGGGACAATTACAGAAGCGGAGTCCTTGAAGTGATTAGAGATGGGATCCAGGCCTAAGTAGAGAAGATGGCCTTCGATACAACCTGGAACACTTCACCCACTGAACACCAGAAAAGGCAA